GCCTTGTGAAACAACACATTCCACCTCAATTGGCTTAGAGAGTGATCCCCTAACATGTACTTGAAGCTTCCGTTGGTGAAAGAAGTTGCCAATCCAACCAACTACAAGATCTCTGATTTCTTAGCTCTGTAGCCGTTGAAGTAGGATGCGGTGACCAAGGCAGTCGAAAGTTTTGGAGAAGTCCAGTTTGGTGGTGTCAACTCCGACCCCATCATCAGCTACTTCCGTCCAACAACCTCCAACTACAAGGTACGGCAAAATGTCTGCAACAAAGCGAAAACAAAAAACGTAGAAGCTTCAAAGAGCGGCTTGCAACCGTCGCAAAAACTGCTCCCAAGCGGATCTTCGCCTACGTGAAACCGCGCCTGAGGCAATGTTCCAGTGTTGGAAGTCTCTGATGGACAGCCCCTAACCTCGAGCACAGATCATGCATCAGCATTGGCGGCACACTTCGCCTCCGTATTTGCAAGTGACCAGGTGTCTGTAACGAGTTCGACGAGTACCGCTCCCGCTGAACTTGACAGCCTAGACTGCAGCATTAAAAATGTACGCAAGCTTTCAGCAAGTCTTGAGGAGACGAAGCCTGATGGGCCAGATGGAATCCAACCACTGATTCTCAAGTCCCTATCGGCCATCATCCCACCTTCTGTAACAGAGCTGTTCACCAGGTCACTATCCACTGGAATATTACCGGACGGCTGGAAATACTCAGTCTTAAAGCCAATACCGAAAGGTGGCAACCCAAGCAAAGTGGATAACTACCGGCCGATCTGCCTGACCATTGTTTTGGCAAAGACGCTCGAGAAGATCGTGAAGAATAGCCTTCTGCAGCTTCTCGAGTCAAAAAGCCTCTTGACGCCCGCACAGCATGGTTTCGTGAAAGGCCGCTCGTGCATTACCAACCTACTGTTGACGACGCACGAATGGTTACAAGCGCTGAACCAAGGCAAATAGGTCGACGTCATTTACATTGACTTCAGTGAGACTTTTGACAAGTTGAATCACGCAGCGCTCCTCGACAGCCTGAGGGTGTGCAGTGTTGGTGGCTCGCTGCATCAATGGATCAGGAATTTCCTTGTTGATCGAAAGTGGAGGGTCCAGGTGGACAACCATTTAACCGACTGGTATCCATCGAGCAGTGGCGCCCCATGGCACTGTATTGGGGCCGACTTTGTTTCTCATCCATGTAAACAATGTGCCTCAGCTACTCCAATTACCTTGTGCGTTGTTCGCAGATGACTTGAAGGTGTGGAGGGTAATCCGCACACCCAATGGTTGTGACCTGCTACAGCAGGAGCTCGAGCGCATCTCCACATGGTCTGCAGAGGTCAAGCTTCCGATCAACCTGGTCAGGTCGCAATTCATGAGGTTGGGCAAGTGTGAGCACAGTCGAACCTACACTGTGGCTGGTCAACCGTTACATCCCGTGCCCTTCGTGCGCAACCTCGGTGTACTCTCACGCTACGACCTAAAGTCCGTGGACAAGATGAATAGGCTTTACCAAAACAGCCTTCATATGCTTTGGGCGCTCAAGCGCAGCTTCAGCACTTGGTCCGAAGAGATTGCCACACGTCTCTTTGTCTCAATGATACGACCAATGCTAGAGTATGGCTCTCCCGCGTATTGTCCTATCAACCTGGGCGAGGTAGAAAAGATTGAGCGAGTACAGCATGTCGCCACCAGGCTGATTTCCAATTTACGAGGTGTGCCGTACGACGACCGGTGTAAGAAACTAGGGCCGTACGCCCTCGAATGCGGGTTGACCTCATCATGGCGCACCGGATATTACATCTGGGAGATTTCCCATGTTGAGACCGCTGCGTCATCTGCGCACACCAAGCAGCACACGAGGACACCGTTACAAGCTTGTCGCACCGGGTTTGAACCGGGTCGCACACCAACTGTGTTTCGAATGAAGAGTGGTGAATGTATGGAACTACCTAGCACAGTAGGTAGTTGAGGCAAAGTCGCTGTCGGAATTTAAGTAATTCCTGGACAAACACTTTGCCGACGCAAAATATACTGGGCGCGACACAACATAACGGGTCTTTGTCCCTGAGTGACAGTAGATGCACCTACACAGAGCAAACTCTACTTGCTGCTTCCAAATAGTAATCAGTAATCGCGCATTAAGTGCTTTGGGAGACCACAAATGGTTACTGCTGTCACAGGGGGGCGACCATCCCATTTCAGTGTGTTTTAGTCACCCGCAGCAAGAAAGCAAAGTACATATAATATCATATAATATAATGCATCGTTCATGTCACAGCCATGACCTATACGTCGTATATTCAACAAAATCCTATGATACGTCAATACGAGCGACCAACAGACTGCTGCAGAGCAACCAATTTGTTTGTCCCGAGCCGCTTGGGTAAGGTAATATTTCTACGTATTCCTCAAATACATTTTAAGCGTAGCGCTACATACTCAGTATTTCACTAGGACGCTTTTGTAATCAAGTTGAGCTGAGTGCGAGCCGTATTAGAGACCACCCGAAAGGTATTCACGGAGCGGCAGACAAGGCATCAGCAATTCGCCGGTACGTCGTACCGAGGCTTCGCTGCAGCGCAGCTTCCATCAGTCACGCGTAGGCCAAGGATATTGTGATGGTCACCCAGTCCCCTTCGCAGGCACGAACACGCCACCTTAGATTACAAACCAAGCTTGTGTTCCTTTCGGCCACGAGCCGGACAAAATGCTTCCGGTTTTTGTCCCACTTGAGCGGTCATTATCACTAAAATCCAGTTACTTAAGGGCAATCTATTGATCACAATTGCCTCCACCCTTATTCACTTGCGTACTGGAGGCTATTTATATAGTCTATTAAAAGGTTAAGAGACAGCTACCCTGTGATACTGGTAAGTCATGTGACCTAGATTTAAGACACTGGCGGGTTAAACACGACTTTACACCACCATCTTTTTGACCTTGGTGCGTAACTGCAACGAAATAGTGACTACCGAGAAATATACGACTATCCCTGAGCTAATTTATAAAAAAACCTACTTAATTTTACTAAGCACATAGTTGGGATATACACCACCCTCCCGTCAACTATTTGCGCTATGTTGGTTGCACCTACGTAGTTTAATTAACTGGTATATTCTCAACTAGTTGAGACACGGCCCTTGTTTTAATGTATTAATTCGAGCCTCAGCAACACAAAAGCATTTTTACTTACTAACTATAACGAGTAATGTATTTAAGCAGCATTGATGAGAACTAAATGACTTCAATGTGTTCCACATCATTTTGCGCCCCACATCGTTTTCTTTGGCTCAGTAGGGCAAATAGAGTTTAAAAATAAGCAAGTAGATGCCGAAGTGCCGAGACGTAGTGTACAAAGAAATTTCAACAAAGGCAGGATTTTGTTGGAACTTTAGGGCATTTATCCCAGTAGTTCACACGCTACATAGCACAGCCTAATTTGTGAGTTAACTGGGATATAGCTCCCCCTATCTTCCATCATCACGGACAATGGCTAGCCTGCGAGGTGCTGACGTCCTCTCGCTGGACGCTGTATCCATGACATTTGCAACTAACAGAAGCTATCTATATTATATTACTCGTGAGTAACAGGATTTTAGTTGTACTTTTAGAGCATTCAGCCAAGTAGTTCACAAGCTACATAGCACCGCCTATTCCGGAAAAGCACCAGCCGCGTTTCGACCCATTGGGGCTCGTCCGTGGTGTACATTCCTTTGGTCTCCTACCGGGGATCGAACACATGACCGCTGGAGCCAGGTGCCAAATAGCCAGCATCTTTAGCCATGGCAGCTTTGCCGCACTAGGTTGTGCTACGTGGCTTGTGAACTACTGGGACGAATGCCTTAAAAAGCTGCATTTACCAACTTGTAGTGTTTAGACCGCTTCTTACATGATATTACTGATAAATTGAAAGATGAACGCTAATGGAGGTTAAGCTTGGTAATCAGCAAATCCATTCCATACTTGTAAGCAAGTCACAGTAAACCACCACAGAATGCTGATGTTAATTTGTTACATGAAGCACACTATACGAAAGTGAAAGTTTTTCAAGTACCTCGCATCCACGAGTGCTAAGTTGTCTATTAGTCCTTGGACTACGGCGTTTCTTGTGCAATTCCTTGTTGGAAGATCGCACCTATAAAAGTTGTTGCAAAGGAGAATGTACTATGTGGTTAAGTTACCAAAACTATGGTTGAGCAGGCATCCGCTGAGTTGTGCGTGGTTGTACGCGTTAAAACTTGCTGCGGTAGCATTTAATTTGGTTAGCACACATAAATTGTCTTTATGAAACGATTGAAACGTTAGCTATCATTACTTCCGCTCCAAGAGCAAAGGAACCTGTGTGGAAACAGATTAATACATACCACTTTAAGCATCGCTGGAAGAGTTACTGACATCTCACCGTCGCCCTGATATAATCAGTTGGTTAGGGAGTATGAGAATAATGTGGATATCTGCACCGGGAACGGATGGTGTCTTGGTTTGGCTTTCCAAAGTTAGAGTACAGTAACCCTAGGCCACCTAGCTGTTCGAAAGGCAGTGCCCAGCTGACATTAGTGACACTTTTCATCAACAACAGAACGAAACGCATGACCAAGAGCAATATACCGCACACTTCATGTGAACATGTGCAGCATGGGAACTTGATCTCACAATCCGAACGATTGTATTCCATGTGAAAATGTTGCTCTAATAACTAGCACTAGGTGCTTACAAACATCTTGGATCCTCTACATTCCAATAATAGCTAGTGATAGAGGTGTCGGCTTTTATTACCTGGCTGCGACATCGTGTCCGGTTTTGCGTTCGCTTTGCCGCCTAACATTTATAGTCAAATCACATCGGTTTCCATTTCAACAAGCAACGATTGAGAAAATTCATAATGTAAAGAATTATGCAGTGATGTTTATTTTTATCATGACAGATCCGCGTACGATGACCTGACAGAGACTTGTCAGAAAACAACTCAACCTTTATCAATAGACGCGGGAGAGCCTGCTCCTGACAAGATGCCTCAAGTGGCCGACAACTCAAAAAAGTCAGCCGGTACCTCTAGTAGGTGAGTACACCGTGACTGCGATTTGCAAGTCCACCCTGTAAACGGTGTGATTGTAATAGTGCCATCTTATTCTTACCGGACAGCAGTAACCATTGTGAACACAAATCTGGTGTCTACCCCGGACGTAACATGTGAGGTTCATCCTCACAAGACTACGTCAATGTGGAATCTTTATACATACAGGCATATCTCTCCTATTCCTTTGGTTACTTTTACCTTATATGATTGTTTAATAATTTGATATTTCAGCTTAATATTATAGATCAACACTAAAAAGGTAGGCCAAAAGACGACCTCGAAATGATTTTGGATTTTGGTAGCTCGGGATGCTTGTTCAGTTGTTGTGGTGTTCTCCGAGCTGGGCAACTTAACTGCAAACGTTTCGCCACCATTCGAGGTAGCATCTTTAGTGCAGTATCGATAGTATTCAGATAGTAGGAGCTGATAGAAAGTGAACCCAATAACCCATATTTGGATTTGTTTTCCACAAGCCCCTGTTATCTGACTGCTATTAACCCTGCACTGAAGATGCCACCTCGAATGGTGGCGAAACGTACGCACTTAAGTTGCCCAGCTCGGAGAACACCACAACAACTGAAAAAAGATGATCTTTTGCGTCTCAGGACTTGTGTGGTAGGCCCAGCTTGATTGCGACTCTAAGCAGTGGACTCAGAACTTTCGGCGAAACCCAGTGCTTAAGTCAAACGAGTAACGTTTGCATCAGCGGATGGAGTTGAATATTCTGCATGTTGTGAACATCTTTGGATTTTTGAGCGTATCTTCGAAGGAGGTTACGATGGTGTTACTGTGGTGAATGCTGTCATATATGCAACGAAGTCATTCTTCGTTGACCAACGCAAATTAAAACCACAGGTACAATCGAAAGAGATTGTGTTAGTGTCGTTTTAATCGCGACTGGTTATACAATTAGTGGGTTAGACGCTAATGTACCTGCTCCATAAAAGAGAGGGACTTGCCGCTTGTGCTTGTTTGAGGACTGTGTGTCCAATTTGGATTCCGTGTGGTTGGGACGACGGTCGCAGAGCGCCTTGAGCGTGGATGAATACATGCGGAGCTGTTATTCGGTCGTCTAGTGGTGTGTGATGCATCTTGATGCAACTTAAGTATGTATGTTTTGTAAGTGGGTGTAAGGTAAACTGCTTCATTAATCACGCAGGGTTGTCACAAGCTTAGACGCGCAGCGTGCTCATGGATAGAGGTGCAATATTGTCTTAACGTCTGCATGTCCTTCACTTAATGCAGGTCACGTATCGTGTTAATTGAGATCTACCATGAAAAGGGCAACTCCAAAAACAGGATGTTTTGAGGAAGTGGCAAACGGATCTAGCAATATATTCCACTTAATGAATTGAGTACATGCATTGTTTCTGGTTTTAAGTGGCGACAAATCGGTCGGGCCAATACACACGTCGAGTGATACTCTGGTGTCCAAACGCTGGAAACCACTACTCGAATTTAAAACGGAAAAGTGGCACCCGTGAAAGTAATCACGTATTTTCTGCCGATAATTCTGCATTCAGCGCATGCTGAATGCAGTATTGTAATCAGTTCTGTGGGGGACCCAACTCAACCAGATTACGGGCATAAATTGTTTGGATGATTCACCGGAATACTACCTGCGGTATCAATTGGGTGATACTTGGTTATCCCGTTCCAGGGAGTCAAACGACAGCATTGTGCCCGGAAGTGGTTGTTTCTCGCTTGACAAGCGTTAGTTCTACAAAACAGTCACAAGTTTTGACTAACAGCACATCAATGTAGAATATGTGACTAGCTACTAATCGAAGTCATTGTCCCTTACTTCTTATTAACGGGGCATGGTACTTTGCTGCTGTACACCAGATTCCTGGGACGGATGAGACCGAGGAACTATTCGACGTCTACCAGCTAGCTCGATTCCTTGTATTCTCACCACTGCCTTGTGATCAGACCATTGTGTCAAAAGTTGAGATGTAACCCCCTACTTAGCTCCCTACTTCGTGTTTGGAAACCGGGTAGTAGCACACTTTCTGGAGGGGACGAAAATTACACTGGCAATAGGTCGCGCGGGCTAAAGTTGCGGCAAACTAAAGCTGATGCCTACACAGTTTTGCAATCCCTGCAGAGTGTTAATGAAAGAGTGGCAGCGACCACCTTCTATCTGAATGCAGTGATTTAGATTCGGCACAAAAATCCGGACTCACTGTGCAAATACGACTCAATGCTACTTGACATAGACAAGGGTACAAGTTGTCCCTATGAAAGCAATGACTTAGCCAGGTTGATCAGTTTCTCGGATATGTCCGAGGCGCGAAACCAAAGATAGCCGATCCGAATCGGCAGCACTGGCTTGAAGTAAACTATACAAACATTACTGCAGCCAACTTACCTCAAGCAAGGCTCTTTTACCCAACATTTGGTGAGGACTTCGGTCTTATTCACCGGGCTTCGGATAAAAGACTAGTTACCTAAACGTTCTACACGGGATACATCTAGGTCTAGACAACACTGCCATCTCTCTCAGTGTCGGACTAAAACAACCGAGATGCCGAGTTGTTTAACTAGGCTCCACTGCCTTCCAGAGACCCGGTACAAAACAATAAAACTTTAACCATCGACCGTTCGAAGATCTGTAAGGCACAGCGTCTCTGGCTGTATTGACCGTAGACCAGAAAATGCTCAGAGAATAAATCCAGTACAACTCAAGCACAAACACTGCGATACCTGATTTCTGTCGACAGGTTCATGGAAATTCATGACTGTTTTTTGCTATGTTCCGATCAACCAGCGTATTATGTGTCTTGAACTGGAGGACTCGTTAGTGATCTATGGTGTCCCGAGGTAATACCACTTTTTGGTTCCCCTATTCAGTTACAAGTACATCTTTAAGTTAACAAGTTATATTTTTGCATGGGTCGTCACACGGACCCGTGGGTTAAGATAGGTACCGTAATCTAGTTCCTAGTTTAATTTTTAAGGCTGTAACGAGCAACGTAATATTTTCGACAGGCTGAGCTTTGACCAGCTGTTGCAATCTTTGCTACTGACTAAATTCGGCCTTACTATTCGTCGCAATAAAGATATGTTTTATGTTTGACAGACGGAGTAAGACGAAAAGCGGTCGTTCGACGGCCTCCACAAAAGCTCCAGTAATAGAAACTGTTCCGGCTGCCCTGCCAGCTGCTGCCGATCTGTCTGCCCTATCTCTGTGTCTGTGCCTGGCATCGGCAAACAGCTTCAACCCACCAAAACCATTATACAGCTTTGCAGCTGAACTAAACCTCAAAGTAAGTGACTTTGAGATGAGCCGTGGTTGTTAGACTCTTCTCCACTTACATAACGTGCATCCACGCTAAACGTGTTTAACTTCTGAAGTAGAAGTAAGGCCTTAGGTTCTGTAACAAGGACTATTTGCTGCGCTTTTCAGTGAGCTGCATATGCTGAATGAATTAGGCCTTTGTCTTTCGATTTGTTTGTTAAATGAGTGAGATTGATTCGGTAACCAAAGCATTCCACTCCAGTTGTCTGTAAAGCAAGGTAAACGATGCCCTAAAAGAGATATTAATTGCAGACAGTTTGGTGGTTTATTCAGGGCAACTTAGCCTCATGACCCCAAGTGATACTGTTTAATTGCAAGAGTTCAATAAGGCCCTACTGCCGCACTCTAACTCGGCTCCAGCTTCGCCCTTCGTGGATACTCTAATTTCCCCTACACAATTTTGTGCGTGAGCTCATTCGAAGCAATTCGACGAGCTGTACTCAGTGCTCTTCATCTCTTAGATCTAACTAGTCTATATCATGCTCTTGCTCTAGTTCTCAATGGTAGCATATCTTTTCTCGAGTTCTACGTGCATAACCACGGGAATCATCTTGCTCTCATTCGGAAGAAGAAGTTGAGGACTCCCAACCTACCCGGCACCCATCCCTGCAAGCTACAGCATTACTAACTTACGGTCATTTGGCCCCGCTTATCTACTGCGCATTGCGTCCGAGACACTTACGGACGCTTATCAGCGCCCTACCTGTATTGTCGCGTAAGGCAGGCCGATCAATACACTCCGCCGCTTTGTGTGGGTGCTTGGGTACAACTGCGAGACGTCTGATCATTGAATCTGTTAGTCAGCGCAATGTTGCGATTGCGGGAGGCGGTGAAACATCTATCTGGCTTGCCGGACTGACTTTGGCGCGCGAACAATCAAACTAGAGTCCAAGGTTGGATAACTTTCTACTCCGACGCGTGTATAGACGTGTTGCGTGTCAATGGCATGCCTGAGTTCCAGGATATTCCTCGAACGTAAGCACCTGTACCGCACTGAAGGCTCAGCTAGCCACGCTGGAAACGAACACAGTGCAAACAGCATTCCATACATGGTATAACTCCACGTATGTTCTTCAGAGAATTGCAGTAAAGTCTTTAAGATCAGGATAACCTGCTCTATATGCATTAGATTGTACCATCTGCAAAGTATCCGAAAATCCATCTAAGGAGTGAGGCAGACAAACAAAGTTGCTGACGCCTTTTGGTTTTGTCTAACAGGTCGTCATTCCGCATGTCAATTCTTTAGCTTTGTTCACGAAGAAGTTCGACAGGATGACTGAGATAATCGCACGTTTAGTGAATATTAAGATCATTCCCTCGGAGGTAAATATGGCCACACTAATACCTTAACCAGCCAACGGATGCTCCGGTTCTAAGCCGAATAAGCGAGCCTGCCGCTCCAACCACGCTGCAGCACCTGTGTCTCTAAATCCTCTGGGTTATCTCAATCCCATAACCGGACAAGCTTTAAACATGCCTGCTTCCACTCCTACAATCATGGATGCTCCACCTGGAGATTCAACCATAAGGCCGACATCTCACAGGCGAAGACAACCCGGTGCAGATGGCAAGCAGGTGATGTACGCAATGATTGCCTCAATAAGCCCACCAAAGAGACACACGTTGGTTCATCTTTTGTTCCGAGCACACGTGGGGCGACGCAGTTATCACCGTCAACTCCGGTAGTGCCTTCGAACCAGCCCTAATTACCAGCAACAACTATATGACTGACACTCTCTTAACCAAACAACGCTGCGTTAAGTTTCGTGTGCAAAACTCTAGTCCAAAGTTGGCACAATAAAAACAATTTGATAGGCGATCGCAATCAGTGGAATTCCATCTGCGATGCGATTGGTATTCGGGTTGCGCCTATTATGCTCAGACGCGCGGCGCGTCACCCGACCTCATTGCACCCTGATGAACCTCAAACTCTTCGAGTATCACTGAACTCAACATATCTGACAGAGGCTGTCCTACTCTCAGCAGTTCGTCTTCGCAACTCACCGGGCGGGTGCGCATGTTACCCAAACTACATTGGAAAGCGCCAAAAAGAAGCAGGTGACCAATACGGCATTCCTAACAGCAATAGCATGAAAACCATATTTGTTCATGATGTTCCCGAACTTCTTGATTCCTCTGATAACGATGCGCAAACACATGACCGGGAGCAGTGGTGCTACACCCGCGAAGCACTCTTTGGACAATGTTGTTGCCAAATTGTACGTAGTCACGAAGTCAAGCAAAGCACGCCTCCAGACCGTAGTCAGGCAGGACAAGACAACAGTCCGAAGCAGAGGGTATCGGCCAAAGCTCACGCACATGCATCACATGACACACGATGTAAATCATAACGTGAAGAATTATTGATCGGTCAATGCGCCGTAAATCAATAAGGACACGGTGTGGTCTGAACTAAACGAATCAATATCATAGATGCACAAAACAGTAAAAAAGTTCCGTCCTCACGTAACCTCAAGGGCTGCGGTCCAGGATTAATGAAAGTGGTATTACACTTCGAGGGATTGACGCAAATTCTATTGGATAACCGGCCAAAGTTTCGAGCCAGATTGCCAACCGACATCCGACTAAAGGCAGCAGGCGCAGGTCCAAGAGTGGTCTGCAACTAGATAGAACTTTCAAACTCCGTAAATCCTTTGCCTGCAGAGAGATCGACACAACAGCACCCACGGCGCACAATAGGACAGAGGGCATCACTAGCGAAACTTCTGTTCGGGAACACTCTACGATGCCATGCAACTTAACTGAAATTTATAAACCAAAAAGTGATTAAAAGCCGGCAACCCAACAGTCGGCTTAAACACAAACACAAATTACATCCATCAACAACACAACAACAACAAACACACTATCCGGTTTGTATGCCAAGGCCCAAAGCTTTCTTAGTAAGTTGGTCGAAATTAGAGAACTTCATTATACAACCGCGTGACCTCTTCCTGATTACGGAGACCTGGTTAAGCATTGAGATAACTGATTCTGGGATCAATGTATCCGGTATGTCGCTGCTTCGGCAAGAAAGAACTGGAAAAAGTGGCGGTTTGGTTCTTTATTATAATACAAACCTCGGATGAGGTTATTGATCACCCGGAAATCCGCGCCTCTGATTCGATTTGGTGCTGCCTATGGTTGCGGAACAAGGACACATGTCTACTAGGCGTAATTTATTGTCCATCAAACTCTAAGTCAGAAATGGACTCCAAACTGAACCACGTTTCTCAGGCTGCTTTGCACAAGTCCTACAGCCACATTTTTATCGTTGGAGACTTTCATGTGTACGGCGTGGAAAAGCCAGCAACTGATAGTGCACAGTTGAAAGCTTATTTGCAAAAGCTAATTGTTAGCCACCCCGCCCACCAGATTTCGAATTGCCAACAAGCCGACGATACTCGATCTTTGGCTCAGTACCAAAGAATGCATGGTCGACGGGATAGTTTCAAGCACACCACTAGGTCGTCGTGGCCATGTTACTCTACTCTTTGACTACATATACTGTGCGAATATCCTGAAAAGGAGGATGTAAATGTGTATTTTGTCACGCATTACGAGGTGGTATCTAGGCTCGTTAAAGATACCTCTTTTTTAACCGGATGCATCCCAGATGTTGTCTGAGAAACATTCACAAAGACGTTTAGCACATTGGTAGCGCATGCATCGGAAAAGAAGTCTTCCCAATCTAAAACCAAGTATAAGTCATTTCTGGGGGACAGAACACGTAAATGTATGTCCCTGAGGGATTTAGCACAGCGAGCTCACAGAGAATGCCCGAATGCCGAAACCTGGAGCGCATACGTGTCACATCATAACTTCTGTGTGAAACTGATCCGCGAGGACAAGGTCACGCATCAGCAGGAGTTAATGAGGCGATTCTGCACCTACCTCAAACTTCTGTGCAGACACGTTATTAGCCTTCCTAGAGTGAAGCGCGGAATTCCATCACTGGTCACGGCTGATGGGTGCACGCGGTCAGCATTGGGAGCAGCCGACCTCCTACTGCTCCATTACTCCCAAATTTTGCATCAGGTAACGAGCCCAAATGTTTTCCTCTTCTCTATTACTCCACTGTCGGGTTTATATATCACCAACACTGGGGAAGCTGTGTTGAAGAAGTTGTTATCTTTGCGTATCTACAGCTCTCCTGGAGTCGGCAAAATTCGACTGAATGCTTCGCAGGTAGTAGCTAGGGATCTAGAACAACCGTTAGCCGTTTTCTTTCAGTGATGTCTAGTGGAGAACCATACTCCAGCAGTGTGGAAGCAATTGGCCGTCACCCTCATTCATAAAGGATATAGCCACACTGCCCCTACAAATTACTGTCCAATAATACTACTTCCTGTACCATCCAATCAATCATCGCAGGTGCGCTCATGCAGTATCTGGAAAGTTACAACTGGATAACCACAGCGCAACATAGTTTCCGTGGAACGCGTTCATGTAATGTTAAAATACTAATTGCACCTAACGGCTGAACTGAAACCTTGATGATGGAACAAGGGTCAAGGTCATCTACCTGGACATCTCAAAAGCGTTTGATCACTTAGACATCGAATTCTTCTTCACAAGCTTCAGAACAACGGCATTAGCGACGCAATCCTGAGTTTGATTATCACTTTTCTACAAGAACGTCG